TACAATTTTAAGCTTGAAAGTGATTATTCATATAACTTTTAGTCAGCAATTTTCAAAATATTTAGGGGTGTTACAGCAAACGCAATGTGTTGGCCATTTAAGACGACGTGGGTATAAGCAATTGCTTCTGCCTCAGACAAGGCATTCTATGGCCATATTTCTGCTGTCACAAACTGAGCCGTAAACCCGAAAAAGTCTGCAAATTGCTTATATGCTGTTATTTTTATAATATTAGATAAGGCTTGTAGTATGGTGAGATAGTCGTTTGCAATCTTGGGGCTTAGCAGTTGACACGTGACAAAAACTTCCCCTGATTTATGAACTAAAGCATCTTCATCTAATTATGGTACTCCTGTTTTTCTGAATTTTTGAGATTACTATAATCAAACAAGAATTAGGAATATGGTATGGATGACTATTCAACGTCAGTACGGCTCGCCGTCACGGACAACTGTTCCATCTTTACCTTTCCAATTCACATAAAGTAGAATGCCGATTCCTCCTAAGTACATCATTAATCTGTTTGCTAGCTTACTTTGAAGTTCTTTATATAATTGCGTCCTGTACTTCTAGTAATAAGAAGCTAAAAAAGAATTAGTGGTCCACCGGGGTGGTGCCAGCTGTAATTAATCCTTTGTTGCTTAGTAATAATATCCATTATAAAGGAAATTGGAAATTAATTAGTTGGGCAGATTTTCTAAAAAAATCTGACCGATTTTAAATTAACCATATATCTCAAATCTATAGGTTGTCAATAAGTTTTTTATTGGGACGTTTTTACCTTCAATACTGTAGTTTTTAAGCAAAGCGTCTGATATCGGAATTACCTGATTTAAGCCTGGTAGACTATCCGCTCCATACTCGGTGACCAACACTGGTCGATTGTACTTCTCAGACCATTGTGAGATGTCCCAATAGACGCTTTGATTGATCCAATCCAGCTGACCCATATCGATATACCATCCATAGTATCGATTCACTCCAATCACGTCAATCAAATCTGCCTGGAATTGTGGCAGCTACCCGGTTTTCG